GCTTCAGATGCCTTTTAGCAAATTCCAGGCGGGCTGCTATGTACCCTTTACTAAGGAGTGGCGTCCGTTTGGCCACTCGACCATACAGGCCTAAATAGTGGATTGCTGCACAGATAGTTGTCCTTCTGTTAGGTTCTCCTCTCTCCACAGAAGAACGCTGGAGCTCAGACAGAGTGACCGTCGGGTTATTGATCACCTTCCTGACCAAGGCTCTTCTCCCCCGATCACTCGGCTTAGATGGACGACCAGCTCTAGGAAGAGTCCTGGTGGTTCCAAACATCTTCCACTTACGGATGATGGACGCCTCTGTGCTCATTGAACACACAGAGCTGCAGAAATTTTTTCTGTAACCTTCCCCAGCCTTGTGCCTCGAGACAATTCCTTTGTCCTCATGCTTTCCTATATATATATGTATATATATATATATATACATACACACACACACACACATATATATATATATATATATATATATATATATATATATATATATATACATATACATATATACATATATATATATATATATATATACATATATATATACATATATATATATATATACATATATAGATATACATATATATATATACATACATTTATATACATATATACATACATACATACATACATACATACACACACACACACACCTTTATATACTTTACATGTCTTTGATTGTAGGGTATTTAAAAAAAAAGACAAATAAATAACACATTTATACAAACATTTTATTTTATAACACAGTGTAAGAATGGGGGGCATCACTGAAATCATCTGACAATGAAAAAAACTCAATATTAATCAACATGTTCCAAATCAAGAGTCGTTAATTCTTCATGGGCCACAAAGCTTGTGTGCGAGGTCAGTTTGTGGGATCTTCACACCGAAATTCATGTAAGGCACTTTTATAAAATTGAAACACAACTAGCTATTGACTTGGCTAAAACAGTGGAACAATTGGATGAACTCTTCTAAAAGGTCAAAAGCAGGGACGGTTTTGTTAAACCCAAGTAGTGTTCATTGCATAGTCAAGTATTATCAGTGTAAAATGAACGAAAAAAAAAATAAGAATAATAATCATGAGCAACAATTTCACTGTGTAAATGGGGAATTGTGCAGGTCCTCTGCTATCAGAGGAATTAAGACAAAAGAAAATCACAACAAAGGAAAATCCATAAGCGGTATGATGCTGGGCGAATTAAAAAAGAGACACAGGAAAGAACATGTTTCAAACAGAAATGTTATTTATGGATTTTTGTGAAGTGATTAGAAAGTTGTGTTATGATAGGTTACCAGAGTTCAATTTGTCAAAAGAGGCAGTTCACCTCAAAATGTATTGACTATAGTATGAAAGTCAATGGTTACACGATTTCCAGCTTTCTTCAAAATCTTCTTTAGTTTTCAACAGGAGAAATAAACTGATAAAGGTTTGGAACCACATTAATATTCATTATTGGGTGAACTACCCCTTTAACTGAGCGAGCCTACACTGAAAAAAATGTCTGCAAAATTGTTGCAAACAGTTTATTTGTGTTGAATTTAAACAAACAAATTAAATATAGTAATGTTCAACTTAATTTATTTGTTTAAATTCAACATAAACAAATTGTTTACAACCCCTTAACTTAAATTAAGTAAATTCAAGGAATAATCTCTGAATAATTTTTCAGTGTACAAACATGATTTGAATAGAATGAATTCCTGACCAATACTGAAGCTCAGTTTCAATATTTATTTTGGATATAAATCTTCTTCACCTGCAGTCATTCAAAAGCTGTAGGTTATTTGATGCTTTGTCACTCACTGTCGCTCCTTTAGTGGACTAGCTTGGCTAAATATTCATTTTATGAATTTATTGTTTTAATAATGTTCATTTTTGTCCTTAAAATTACCAATTTAGTATAAAAAAACTTTTTCTAATCAGTCAATGAACTAATTGTTCTAGTGAAAGGCTTGGTTAACGAAGATTAGACCAAATAGCGATTAATTTGTGAATCTAGCATCTTTAAACAGCTGACAGAAGCAAAGATGACTTAAAGGAACATTTTCTTTTTTAGAAATAGGCTTATTTTACAACTTCTCTGGAGTTAGACAGTGAGTTTTACCATTTTTTAATTCATTCAGTCGATCTCCTGGTTTGGCAGAAACCCTTTTAGCTTAGCTTAGCATAGATCATTGAATCAGATTAGACCTTTATCATCTCCCTCAATTAATTCTAAAGAAAGTTTTGATATTCTGTCTGTCTTAGTACACAATGTAACTACAGAAGAGTTCTGCATATAGTGATGCTAATACTCTAATTCAATTCAATGATCTATGCTAAGCTAAGCTAATAGTGTTTCCAACAGACCTAGAGATTGCCTGAATGGATTCAAAACTTGCAAAACTCAACTGTTTAACTCTAGGTGACTTAGAGCCTACATATTTACACATAAAAAAGTGTAGTGTTCCTTTAAATGATGAAACATGAAGATATGAAAAAAAAAAAAATGATTGGCTGGTGTTTGATAATGGTCACTGACACAAGGATACAGCGGTATTTACGTAACTGCTGCTCATGCCTTAGTAAAAAGGCTAGCACCATCCCTGCTTCCTAGCGCACTTGGGTATACTGTGTGTTCAGCATCGGATTATTCTGACTGGAGCTTTAAACAGATATAGAAAGGACTATAAATATCTATGTGTGAATAGGAACAAGTTTGATTTGTTCTGTAGGAAGTCTGTAGGAAACGATTTAAATGATATCACCCATACAAAAATGAACCAGGGTTTTATTATAGTAAAAGTGTTTTGGTAGATTGATTTACATTTATAACCATAGTTTTACTACAAATATTAAACTAAACCAGTAGTTTACATACACTCTAAAAAAAAGGACTTTTGTTTTTCTTTTTTTAATGTCTTTGGTCTTAATGGTAAATCATACTAAACGTTTACTATTTTAGGTCTGTTAGGATTACCTAAATAATTTACATTTGGTAAATGCCAGAATAATGAGATAATAATTTTTTTTTTTTGAGAATTTTTTATTAGTTTCTATACAGTCAAAAGTTTACAATAGCTTTGCTTTTAAACTGTATAACTTTGGTCAAATGTTTTGGGTATCCTTCCACAAGCTTCTCACAATAGTTTGAAGGAATTATGACCCATTCCTCCTGACAGAATTGTTGTAACTGAGTCAGATTTGTTGGCTGTCTTGCTAGCACAAGCTTTTTCAACTCTGCCCACAAGTTTTCTATAGGATTGAGGTCAGGGCTTTGTGATGTCCACTCCAAAACATTCACTCTGTTGTCCTTAAAGCACTTTTTAACTAATTTGGCAGTATGCTTAGGGCCATGGTCTGTTTGGAAGACCCGTTTGTGGCCAATAATTTTAATTTCCTGGCTGATGTCTTGAGATGTTGCTTCAGTTTTTCTACATAATGTTCTTTCTTGATGATGTCATCTATGCTGTGAAGTGGACCAGTCCCTCCTGCAGCAAAACAGCCCCACAACATGATGCTGTTGCCCTATACTTCACAGTTAGGATGGTGTTTCTAGGCTTGTAAGCTTTCCTCTTTGTACTCCAAATGTAACTGGTCATTATGGCCAAACAGTTCAATCTTAGTTCCATCAGCCCACAGGACATGTCTCCAAAAAATATTATTGTTTCCAGTGTTATTTAGCAAATTGTTATCTGGCTTTTAGTTGATTCTTGCTTGTTGATTTTCCCATGTTGTCACACAAGGAAGCAGTGTGTTTAAGATTTTCCTTAAATATTATTCTACAGTTGTGCCTTCAATTAACTAAAATGTTGTCAATTAGCCAATCAGAAACTTCCAAAAACCTTGTTAGAGCTTTTTCAGAGGCATGATAATCTTATTGTATGTAAACTTGACTTTCAAGAAAAGTTATAAAATGTATGAAAAAATATCTCTTTCATTATTCTGCTATTAACCATAACAAAAACTATATTGATAATCCTAACCTACCTAAAAAAGAAAAAGTTTAGTTACTTTAACATCTGACTTTTTTTTTAAATGGTCATGTGCCTTTTTATACAGTGTATGTAAACTTCTGGTTTCAACTGTATGCTTAGTGTAGCCAAACCATTGTTAGTTTGTAGTCAATAACTACAATAACCAGTTTTTGAGGGGGTTATTTGTTGTACACTCTTGTACACTGTTGTGACTCAAAAACTGTAAAGTGATCCTAACCGTGAGATTTGTGATCCGTAATCCCACTAATAAAAAGCGTATTTTGCAGTGTAAAACAATGCTAAATATTCCTAAGCACTATTGTTATTGCTGCATTTTGGCTATGGAAATGAGACTGAAAATATGGAATTACACAAGCTTAATGAAACATTTCTACGATGAAAGAAATGTGAACCGCCACAGTTGCAAGCAAAAATGAAACAAGGATTCAAACATGGCAGGTTTCAGTCTGAAAGCCATACGCCGCTGCACAAAAGAAACAGCGCTGAATATTACAGTTTATGTGCCATGACATGGTCTTCTGCAGTGGTTACACAGAGAGAAATCAAAGTAGAAAAGAAAAGGCCCCTTGGTGCTTAAACTCTCATAAGTTTTCATAAATAACTAAGTATAACAAAATCATTTGTATTTACCTGAAGAGATTATGGCGACAGAATGTTAGATAACTAGATAGAGCACTATATTTACAACAATAAGCTTGATCTTTGCCTTTCCTACATCGTACAAAAGACGGTGCTGACAAGGTGGCAGTGAAGTAGGAAAAAACAAACAATCCTCCAATTCCATAACGTTAGTGTTGCTTGATTATACTTTTTTTTAGAGAGAAAAAGATATCTGCATCTGATATCGTTGAGTGGCATGATAATTAAAGATGAAATAAAATACGTAAAGAGTGTTGGACGGAAAAGTGTACAAATCATAATGTTTTGGAAGATGGTTACCTGCTTACTTATCCATATACTCAGTGCAAGTGTAAACAGGCGTCATTCATTAGGCACGATGGAACTGCCTTAGTTAACACTTTTTTTTTGAATGAAGCAAATGTGCCGGGAAATCTTTGAGGTTCCATTGCTTATAAATGTAGAGACGCAAATGTGTTCTTGAAGTTTTTCTATGGCTTTTCATAGAAGTAGCACCAAACAGTACATTAGTTGTTTTGTTCATAAAACTGGATGAGAAAGAGCGCTGAGGCAGGATTATACCCTCTTCATGCACACTTGACACCTGCTGATGTGAGTTCTTAGACTTCCGGCCTTTAATGTTGCAGGGACTGGTTTCCTGTAAACACAATGCAAGCACAAGTTACATTAGACTGGAGAGCTACACATTTTATAGCATTTTTTTACGTAAATTACTGGTAGGAATGTTGCCAGCAAGTTTCAGTAACTTAATTATTACTCCATGGCCAAATAATAGTAGTTTCGGGGTGAACTCTTTTCATTGCAGCTGGTGAATGAAAGGACACATGTAACTTGGTCCAAAATATTTATTACGTTCCGTGTGGTACAACAAATCAGTCACCAAAGAGGAAACATCTTTGAAAAGAGTCTTATACCAAAAAAAATGCTTCTCTTTTCACTCTCCCTCTCCGCTTCACACACACCTCAAACTGCAGTCCAGTCTCTTAAAGGACCCGCACATTTTACAACATGTGTAAACATAACGGTTGTTTGTAATCTGATTATTTGTTATCATCAATGCGTTGCGTGCCATGTGTTGTTGATGTAAGATTGTATTCTGTTTGATTAGAATATTCATATTGATTATAACGAGCGCGCGTGAGAGCTGTCACCGCACACACACACACACACACACACACAGTAGCACGGGGGAGAGGTTAAAGGTAAATTCAGTCAAAGGGGCTCTCAACTGCGTTCATTCTGTCTTTATATTCTGCTCTGTGTTTGTCATAAAGACAGCTCAATGCAGGTTTTGTATCAAAATCTGACTCTGATGGCAACTCTGCGAATACAATTAAGTGAAACTCACTGCGGTTTATCATAAACTTGCTTGTACGGTGGCTCGAAACGGTCAAAGCACCTCTAAAAAAGGCTTTTTCGGACATGACATATTTGTACACATGTACATCACTGTAACACGTTTTATTCAAGAGCTGGTTTCAGTTAACTTGCTTGTTGATTAAATGCCATTTTGTTATTGAACCTATTATTTTTATGCAACAGTCAAGTTGCATTTTAATTTGCTATGAAGAAAAGGAAATAATTTTTTGCATGCTGATTTATGAGAAATCGTGAATATAGGTCTATAATTACCTTGCAATTTTGAAGTTATAGCTTTTTTTGCTTTGTGTATAGACTACTCAGTTCATGAGGGCAGTTCAATCTTTTATGAAGTTTGCTGGTTAAAAATATAACATTTTGAAATATTTATAATTATCGGCCAATACATATCAGCTATCGACCTCCAAGTTTGAAGAATTATCGATTATCGTTATCAGCCAAAAAATCTATATCATATCGATTCATCCCTAATATATATAGTTGTTTAGTTATATGATGCACTTATTTTTCTTTTTCTCAATTGTAAGTTATCCTAATTAACAAGTTGAATGACATGCATGTTTTTTTCTGAAACAATTTAAATAGTAAATACATTATATTTATATATATACCATACATTTTATGAAAAAAGGACACTGTAATAAAATGTTAATCAAAAACAAATATTTTAGATGTTTCACTTGAGATTAAAAAGTAAACCAAAAATGACAGTATATTGTTATATTTCTAATTCTTTGGTTCTAGGCAATATAAAGTGGCTGACTTATTTCTGTATACAAAACTCAAACATAAAAACAGTTATAATTCTTCTAAATCACAAATTGCACACTTTTGTGGTAGTGTTTTTTTTTTCAAATTGCTTTGAAATACACTATGGCTGATATATTTGAGAGAGCTAAAGCAGTCAATGAATGTTAAGGAATATAAAGTGTGTACAATCTTACGTAAACATATCTGTGTCTTCTATGGTGGCTAACCAGAAGCTGTAAGAATTGGCGTAGTAGTTGCAGGTGCCGCGACCATGACACTCGATGAAGGGAGCCGAGCGGAACTCTTCAAGACAAGAGCCAGGAGAAGCCAAAGCCTGACCGGAGCCCTCAGCACCAGCGCTCGTATGCTGTTGGATGCACACACAAAAGAGACAATTTACAACATCATGTTTTCATCTAATATTTTTCTCTGTGTTCATTTTTAATGACATCTTTATTTAGTAGTCTTTAGCCTCCATAAAATTTGAATGTACAGCATTTAGTTGATTTGCAATATAATGTATATATTATGTATATAAAGTCACCTGAGGATTTGAAAAAAAAAAAATATATATATATGTATATGTATATATATATATATATATATAATTAAAATACACAAGTCATAATGTCGGATGCAACTATTTGAGATTCTGAGGTTTCAAAAAATCTAAATGTCCAGTAAAACTTTACATTTTAAATATTAATTAAAAAAATTAATATTAATAATAAAAATTTTGTTTTGACATTTACAAAAATTTTACGGCTTTACAGCTTAATATTATCATGAAAATTCAAATGATTTTTAACACAAAATAAAAATTTATATTTGGAGCCAATGTATTGCCAAAAATGCAGTACAACATACTAATTTTGTGGTCCAGGGTCTAATAATCCTATTGGGTAACACTTTTTTGGTCACAAACACCAGTGATCTAATCCGTACAGATCGCTGGTAAACACACAGATAACATAGGACTACAAATCTGCTGCTATATGGACTACAAGTTCCAGTCATGCACCACACACACACCTGTTCCTGATCACAACTGATTACACTCACACAAATGGACTTTTAAAGCAGAACAGAGACACACACTTGTGGCTGAGTTTTGTAAGCAGTATTGTAAACTTTACAACACAGTTTCCTTGCCTTATTTTATTGTTTATTCCTGTATGCGGCCTGCCTTTTGAGCTTTTGCCTGTTTATGACCACGACTCTGGTTTTTCTGTGTACATCTGTTTGCCCCTGTGTTGACCATTGCTTGCCAGACAATTCTTGTTAATAAACCCTGATTTAGATCCGAACTCCGTTGTCAGTGTTCACTTCACATTACAATTTTGATGGTCCATTTGAGTATTAGTCAACTGTCTGCTTAATATCTGCTGATACTGCTCCTTCAACAGACATTTAACTGATTATAAGAAACTTTGCAAGTACATGTCAACTTACACTAACCCTAACCCCAACCTAACAGTCTACTTATAATCTAATGAGAATTAGTTGGCATGTAGATGCAATGTAACTTAAATTCAACAAACAACCATCAAAATAAAGTGTGACCTACTATTTTACTATGTAATAAAAAGTAGTTAATAAAAAATAATAAACTATTTTATTGTGTAATTCAACTGTAAATTTGCAGTACTAACATCTACAAATCTTTATTTTTTTACTGTGCTATACTCTATTGCTCTATATTTAGTTTTTTACTATTTCAATGTTTTATTTTTTTGTAAATTAAATAAATATATTTGTAGTGAAGCACAGCACTGTGTTTACTTACACTTGTGCAGCTCAAGATGCAATATTTCAGCTGCTTTATTCACATGAAATAAACCAATATGTTCTGAGCTCTTAAAAAAACTATAATTGGAAAGAGCAGTGTATTTATTTACATTTACAGTTTGTGCATTCACATTATTTAATTAGTCGATTTTGTTTTAATTTATCTGGTTTTCTCACCATAACGAAAGAGTATCCAATCCAGAGTGAAGCCCAGCCATCGGGACAGTTTGGAATTTGTATGGTCTGACTGTGCACAGCTATAACCATAGCAGGAGCCTCACACACAGCACATCTGCCACAGAAAAAAGACACATACTGTATACTGTACATGGGAACTAAGAACACTCACTCGTGGATATATCAAACTTTCATAATAACAATAATAATGCATTTTATTTAAAGGCACCTTTCTTGGCACTCAAGGTTACCGTACAGGACAGCTAGAACAATCAGTTTAAATAAAAACACAATAAAAGTCAATAGAATACAATAGAAATTTTAATTAATAAATATCACAGACCTGCTGATGAAGGGTTTGATGCTCTCGCCGGTGACGGGGGCCATGCTCATAGGCATGGGCTCTGGAGTGGTCAGCCAGTAGGAATAGTCATTACGAGATGCAAAGTTGCAAACATTGTTGATGTTACAGAAGAGGAACGGCATTGGGCTGAACTTCCTTAGGCAACTACCAGCTGTACCTACAGGGTACAAAGAACAGGAGTGTCAAGGACAGTGTACTAAACAGCAATAATGTCACAGCGATTTGTAAGTATTAAGTATTATAAAGTACTATAAATGTAAGTTTCAAATAATTCACATAAGCAAAAAAAAAAAAAAAAAAAGTGGCAAACACAAAGAAACTTTAAGAAATAACCAGGCTCTGCTCTGAACACAAAAGAGAATGTAAAATGACCAAACAAAAACAAAACTTGGTCAGATTAATGGAAACAAACAAGTCCAGTTAAAGATTTTTTTAAATTAAAATTTGTAAGTTTTAAGTTTTTAAGTTTTTTAGTTTTTTTTTTTAATTTAGAAGTTAACAGTTAAAAGATTTTAATAATTAACTTGTTTTCTGGTGTTGTTTTGACTATGCTTACACATTAATAAGGCTTACTCATTTATTTCATAAAAGCAGTAAAACATTTTAAGTATTATTTCAACTGTAAGAAGCTTCTAACATATATATATATATATATATATATGTGTATATATATATATATATATATATATATATATATATATATATATATATATATATATAGTAAAATATGTAAATTATTAAATCCCGTTGTAAAGTGAGCTGTAAGAAGCTATGATTTATAGCAAGCAAGCTGTTGCTAGGTACAAATTCTTTGCTGTTATAAAGTCACTGTTAACAGTTTCACAGGTGAAATGGTTATTCCATAGCTTCACTAAATAAAACAAAGCAAATAGGATGGTATCTTTGACTTAGTGCTGGTTTAGACAAGCAACAAAGTCAGAGGTGTTTGTCTGTGTGTGTGTTTTTAGAGTATTGTACAACGGTTTCCAATGTGGCTGAACCTTTCAGAATCAAGGTCCAGAACTATTCATTTTAAAATGTAATTAATTCCTCTTATCACCTGTCTATATAAGGTCCCAGGGTTGACAGTGCATGTCAAAGCACAAACCAAGCATGTGGACAAAGGAATTGTCTGCAGACCTTCAAGACACATTTTTTTCTAGAGGCACAAGGCTGGAGAAAGTTACAGAAAAACTTTCTGCTGCTCTGAAAGTTCCAATGAGCACAGTGGCCGCCATCATCCGTAAGTGGAAGATGTTTGGAACCACCAGGACTCTTCCTAGAGCTGGCCGGCCATCTAAGCTGAGTGAACAAGGGAGAAGGGCCTTAATCAGGGAGGTGATCAATAACCTGATGGTCACTCGCAGCGTTCTTCTGTGGAGAGAGGAGAACCTTACAGAAGGACAACCATCTGTGCAGCAATCCACCAATCAGGCCTGTCTGGTAGAGTGGCCAGACAGAAGGCACTCCCCTCCTGGAATTTGCTAAATGGCCTCTGATGGACTTTCAAACCATAAGAAATAAAATTCTCTTGTCGTTTGAGTGAATGCCAGGTGTTGCGTTTGGAGAAAGCCAGGCACTGCCCATCACTAGGCTAATACCATCCCTACAGTGAAGCACGGTGGTGGCAGCATCATACTGTGGGGATGTTTTTCAGCAGCAGGAACTGGAAGACAAGTCAGGATAGAGGGAAAGATGAACGCAGCAATGTACAGAGACATCCTGAATGAAAACCTGCTTTAGAGGGCTTTTGACCCTAGACTGGGGCGACGGTTCATCTTCCAGCAAGACAATGACCTAAAGCACACCGCCAAATATCAATGGAGTGGCTTCACAACAACTCGGTAAATGTCCTTGAGTGGCCCAGCCTTAGCCCAGACCTAAATCCTATTGAACATCTCTAGAGAGATCTGAAAATGGCTGTACACAGTCGCTTCCCATCCAACCTGATAGAGCTTGAGAGGTACTGCAAAGAGGAATTGGCAAACATTCCCTAAGACAGGTGTGCCAAGCTTGTGGCATCATATTCAAAAAGACTTGAGGCTGTAATTGCTGCCAAAGATTGATCAAAGGCTGTGAATACTTATGTACATGTGATTTTTCAGTTTTTTTATTTTTACTAATTTACAACAATTTTAAAAATCTTTTTTGACATTGTCATTAAGTGGTATTGTGTGTAGAATTTTGAAAAAATAAATTAATTTGTTTTGGAATAAGGCTATATCAGAAAAAATGTGGAAAAAGTGAAGCGCTATGAATACTTTCAGGATGTCCTGTATGTCTCATGTCTTTGGATGGTGGGAGGAAACCAGAAAACCTGAGGGAAACCCACGCGAGTACAGGGAAAACATGACTTCACACAGGAACGTTGATTGACCTAAGGACTTGAACCATTGACATTCTTCCTGTGAGGCAACAGTACTAACCACTGGGCCACCATGCTGCCCTACTTAGGAAAAGGGGAAGGAGTAGGGATGGAAGGGGGGATCAAGGCGAAGATAACTGAGGTATGAAACTCTGGATATTTTTAGTAACTTAGAAATGGTCTGATTGGTGAATCATGTGTTAACTAATGCGGGACCAGATGTGGTCATCAATCATAAGCATGTGATCCTCTCGAAATTACTTTATAAATAAACTTTACATAGTGCTCAAATACAGTACACTATTATTGGTGCTCAAAATTATTATTGGTTCCTAATATTGCCAGGAGTAATGAATAGCTTTTTTTGATTTATAATACACATATGAAACAGATGTTATTTTTAACTTCATGAAGTATTATTTAAGGTATTATTTATTTAGTAATAGTTTTTTTTTTTTTTTTACTTACTTAGGCCAAACCAAAAATAGTAAAGATTTTAAGATGCACACATAAATAAATTGGACATGATACAGAAGCCTAACCTTTATTGAATGTTTTAATTAAAGAAATGCAGGCATAACCATCGGTAAAAAAAATAAAATAAAAAACAACATAATTATTGCAAACTTTTGACCATTAGGGTGTGTCCACCGAAGTATTTATTTTATTTTATTTTTGATCGCTCGCCGTTTTTTACGTTAAAAAGCGCAGCAGCCATCAGTGTCACTTTTGAGCTTGTCATCCAATCACAGTGGAGGAGGACGGGACAATACCATGTAACTTTCAACAAATAATCTGCTAAAATATTCAGCTTGTAACAGTAGAGCGGGCATACTCTGTATCGTGGTAACTGACTGAAAAAAAAAACGCTGTGCTGCAAAATTGCTGATGTTTTAAGAAAAGCGCTCGCATTTCTGCAGCGCAAAAACATTTTGGTGGACACGCACCTATAATGTGTGCTTAGAAAATATTTGTTTTCTGTGCTGACCTAGATCTTGCCCATGTGACCTTTCATTGCCCTGGACATAAAGCAGGGAATATCCATCATAGATTGGCGTCGTTCCCTGTGGACAATGTGGTACATCAATAGTCTGACTGTGGCGAGTTACAAGGAAGCCGTGGTCCATTGAGGAAGGGCCTGGAGGGCCGATATGACCTGGAATACCATCAGGCCCTGGGGGTCCGGGGTACCCTCTAGGCCCTGCAGAAAAGAAAATGGGAGTTGATAAAATTAGGGATCAGCATGTAATGGATGAAAAACTCTATCTGCGTATCTGCACTTGCCGGGGGGTCCAGTTTGTCCAGGCTCTCCTTTGGCCCCAGGATGTCCATTATAGCCAGGTGTCCCATCGCTTCCTTTTAAACCCTGGAGTCCCATCACACCTAGGAGAATGTGCTTGTGTTAAAAGTTGCCGGCTTTTTGTTTTCATACACTTGGAAGTTCAGACATTTAAAAACCTCACCCTGTTGTCCTTTTGCCCCAGGGAAGCCTTGAATTCCAACTAGACCTTGGGGACCCTGTGGTCCTGGAGGACCTGGATCTCCCTTTACATATGTGTGTGGTCCAGGGGGTCCAGGGGGACCTTCACTACCTTGAACATATTAAAGGAAGAAATTCAGTCAAACATTCAGTCAACAGTATTCAGAACATCCATACCTTATTTGTTATTTGTTAACGGTTTAAGACACCCTTGATTACTTTTTTTGTTGTTGAGATTTTAACAAAGTTGTGTGTGCTGAGCATTAATTAAGAAAACGTTAGCACCTGTTAGCTTTAATTGTGGGAAAAACTAGATACCTTTAGGCTTTTGTCAGCTAATTTCATCTTCTGGGGTTAAAATCCTCATTGGGGCTAGATTAAAATCAATAAAGTAGTGCTATCTACCTGTCCAGCCTGTTTTTTGTTTTTTTTTTAGAATGAGTTTTCTTATCCTATGAGAAGAGCCTGCTTCTTAATTATTCATGACAGTACGTGCTTTCCAGACATGCCAAGCTGTGAGACTGTTGGTGGATTGCTGCACAGATGGTTGACCTTCTGAAAGGTTCTCCTCATCTCCATAGAAGAACACTGTAGCTTGGACAGAGTGACCATCCGGTTTATTGATCACCTCCCTGACTAAGGCCCTTCTCTCCGATCCCTCAGCTTAAATGGCCGGCCAGCTCTAGGAAGAGTGCTTGTGGTTCCAAACTTACAAATGATGGGGGCCACTGAGCTCATTGGAATCTTCAGAGCAGCACAAATGTTTCTGTAACCTTCCCCAGCCTTGTGCCTCGAGACAATCCTGTCTGGGAGATCTACAACTCTAAAATTCCTTTGTCTTCAGGCTCGGTTTGTGCTTTGACATGCACTGTCAACCGTGGGACTTTATATAGACAGGTGTATGCCTTTTCAAATCATGTCCAATTAACTGAATTTACCACAGGTGACCTCCAATTCAGCTGCTGAAACATCTTAAAAGTAATCAGTGGAGACAGAATGTACCTGAGCTCAATGTAGAACTTCACTGCAAAGGCTGTGAATATTTTTGTACATGCTTTTTTTCAGGTTGCACTTTAGTGAAGACAGTATGCAAATGGTGCAACTTTATTTTCTGAAGTGTAATCCATAATTAAAAACAGTCATATGCCGAAAAAGGATTATATACAGTTGAAGTCAGAATTATTAGCCCCCCCCCCCCCCCCCCCCCTTTATTTTTTCCCAATTTCTGTTTAATGGAGAGATGAGTTTGCAAAACACATTTCTAAACATAGTTTTAATAACTCATTTCTGATAACAGATATATTTTATCTTTGCCATGATGACAGTCAATAATATTTGACTAGATGTTTTTCAAGACTTCTATACAGCTTAAAGTTGCATTAGGTTAATTAAGTTAACTAGGCAGGTTAGGGTAATTAGGTAAGTTATTGTATAACAATGGTTTGTTCTGTAGACTATCGAAAAAAAAAGTTAGTTTAAAGTGGCTAATAATTTTGTCCTTAAAATGATGTTTAAAAAATTTAAAACTGCTTTGATTCTAGCCAAAATAAAACAAATAAACTTCTCCAGAAGAAATATTATCAGACACACAGTGAAAATGTCTTTGCTCTGCTAAACATCATTTGATAAATAGTAAAAAAAAAAGAAAAAAAAAAAGGGGGGGGGGGGGGGCTAAAAATTCTGACTTCAACTAATAATATGGTTTAATGTATATTTGAGTTCACACTTTTGTTCATACCTTTAAGACCTGGGAATCCTCTGTCACCTCCTTCACCCTTAGAACCAATCACTCCTTGTTCACCCTTTGTACCTAAAGTAACAGAGCCACACATTGACTGGTGACCCACAGCACAAATACAATGCAATGCAACATTCCGTCAAACACATTTTCATTAGGAATCTTACCAGGGAAACCAGGAACACCCTGGGGTCCCATCTCACCCTTTGGTCCATTATAACCAGGCAACCCAGGCTCACCCTGCAGAGCAAAACTGTATTAAATTATGCAAATAACATCACATTTAAAAGAACAATTCTGTTTCCTATAGATAGTGATAACACACTCACAGAAACGCCAATGAAGCCTTTGTCTCCTTTATAACCCCGAGAGCCTGGTGCGCCTTGGAAGCCCACATCTCCCTTTTCTCCTTTTGATCCAGCACTTCCTGGAATTCCAGGTGGACCTTGTTCACCAGTTGCACCTGTGGTAAAAATTGAATGCAAGTAAAATGACATTGGCAACCCATATTCAGCAGCAGAATACAACTGTCGATCCTGATTTAAAGTGCTATAGTACACATTATGGTATAATGTGTACAATATAGTACACATTGTTATCAGTATTTCATTGCAATGAACTTCTTTTCATCTCTAATCAAAGAACAAAAACAAACACAAAAGAATCACAGCCAGTCTGTTTAAGTTAGTTCCCCACTTTCTTTCTTTCCTATGCTTTTGTTGTTCTGTTTTGTATATTTGTTTGTTATATGTTAGACTAGTCAATAAATCACGCTATATAACTAGGTTGGATTGTCTTTGTTTTGCCCACAGAAAAGGTCTCTTTAATGATAGATCCTTGCTACAAGCTTATTAATTTTACTAAAACTTCTTAACTATCCATCTACTTCACAAGAAGCTGTTATAATTCCCTTTCTAAATAAATAAATAATTACAAAGTCCACATTGTTATATTCATTTTGTTAAATTAACTATAAGTTAATCATGAATATTCATAAGTAATAATACCTTGTTAATATTAATCATTAATATTGATGCATTGAGCTAATTTTGCTACCCCTTCACATGAACATGCAAAATGAAGGGTAGAGGGAAGGTCTAAGGAGAATTGGGATTGGGCCAAAGTCTCTGATATCCTTAGAGCAGGGGTGTCCTAACTACGGCCCGTGGGCCATCTGCGGCCCGCAATTAGATTTGTGGCGGCCCGCGAGGCTTTTTATAAATATTAATAGAATCTGGCCCGCTATACATAAATGAGCTTAATTCAATAAATAACCACCGGGTGTCACTATGACATGCCTTCAATTAGGCAGCAGTTCCTGTTATGAAGTAAAACGAACCGAACAAACTGAAGGAAACATAATTGATAATCACGTTTTGGCGAGCCATGGCACAAGCAAGAAAAAGGAAAATCAACAGTGAGTGCAGGAAATTTCAGTCACATTGGGGCCAAGAATATTTCTTCACAGAGGTCAGTGGGAAATGTATCTGTTTAATTTGCCAGGAATCAGTTGCAGTAATGAAGGAATATTATATTAAAAGACATTATGAAACAAAACATCAGGCCTTTAGCTCTTACACTGGTGCCGAACGAGATCAAAAAGTAAAACAATTAGCAGCCTCCCTTTCAGCTCAACAACAGCAGTTTTTTCATGCTAATAAAGTGCAAGAAAATTCTACGCTGGCTAGTTATGCACAGAAAACCCTTCACATAGGAGTGTCTGATGATTGCAACTGTAATTAGATTTTAAAATCGTAAGTCTTTCTAGAAACACAGTTGAAATAATTAAAATAATTCCATAATAAGTCGGCACAATAGCCCTAGTGATTAGCGCTGACACATGGTGCAATAGCACATCAGGGCGTCGCGAATTCGAATCCCGGCTCGACCACTTTTCCCTACCCTACCCTCTCTCCCACTTCACTTCCTGTCTCAATACTGTCCTATCTAATAAAGGCAAAAAGGCCAAAAATAAATCTTAAAAAAATAATAAAAATAAAGAATTCCATAATACACACACACAAATTTGGCCCGGGACAACTTTTTTTTTTTTTTTTTGCATCTGGCCCTCGTGCTAAAAAGTTTGGACACCCCTGCCCTAGAGTGTGTATGTGAATTTAGCTCAAAATACGCCACAAATATTGATAATAACTCTTTTGAAACTGCCCTTTTTAGGCTTTGATCTAAATTGTGGCCTTTTGGTGACTGTTGCATTACTGTAGAGTCCCTGTAGATTCCCTTGTTATGCTGTAATGGGTAGCATTTGCTCAATTAATCTCATAAAACAATTTTCAGATTTTCCAGAAAAAGCAAGCTTTTGCAAATAACATGAAGTGTGCATCAAACATGTAAATGTGAAAGTGTTTAGGCTTCACCTCTTTCTCCTGGCTGTCCCTGGTCTCCTCTGTCCCCTTTAGGCCCCTCCATGGCTTGTCCTGGAAGTCCTCTCTCCCCAGGTCGACCTTGATCCCCTGGCAATCCTGACAGACCTTTATCACCTTTGGTTCCAGGTATACCTGGACTCCCGGGAATGCCAGGAAGACCAGGGTTGCCTTTGTCACCTGGTGTGGAGACATTTTATTAATTACTAACGATCCGATTTAATTACTTGTGATAATACGGTGTTAATTAAAAATAATTAACTAAAATTTAGTCATTCTTAAGTCATTCTTAAGCATGATTTATAAATCTGTGTTGAGTGATCGACATACCCTACAGCGCATACTTTGCACATAGACAACGTCCTTATGAGCATTTGTGAAGTTTATTTATAAATTAATTTCAAGAGGATCACGTGCTTATGATTGTTCACGGCTGGTCCCTCATTAGCTTTATCAGATGATTCCAAACTCACTATAAATTATTAGTTTCTTATCTCAGTATCTTTGTCTTGAACAAAAACCCTGCCTGCCTCTACTCCCCTCCTTTATAGATGAGTGACAAAGTAGCCTAGTGGGTTCTCCAGTTTCCCCGGGTTCTCTATTTCTCTATTAGTATATATGATATACTGGTTTTCTCCCACAGTCCAAAAACCAGTATATCAAATTGGCATCATAGTCAAGCTCTTAGCAAGCCGTGTATCTCCTTAGCCATCTTGTCTCTGTCATTAGCCAGAAACAAGTTGGAGGAGTTCTCAAGATCTGCCTGAGCTCAAACTCTTCTCTTGCCCTGCTAATGGAAGGAAGCCCAGGGCTCGAGGATCTTAGCTCAGGGCTCTCTCCTGAGACTCTTCAGTCATCAGCTAAGTGGAAGCTCTTGAAATAATTCAATCTGATCTGTTTGTGTTCCTTTGGAAATAACACTTCCAAAACTCTAGTAGGCAGTGGGGTTTCTATGTTGTACTTTGTCAAGTACTGTAGGATTGTGAGCAATGCTACTGTAACAGTAGCTGAAACTCCCACTCATTCAGGAAAGAAAGAGGCAGGAACCAACAAATGTACAATCATTTTTTATCATAAAATAAAATGGAAAAAGGGGCAACGCGGTGGCGCAGTATGTAAGGCTATCGCCTTTCAGCAAGAAGGTCGCTGGTTTGAGTCTCGGCTTAGTCAGTTGGATTTTCTGTTTGGAGTTTGCATGTTCTCTCTGTGTTTGCGTGGGTTTCCTCCGGGTGCTCCGGTTTCCCCCACAGTCCAAAGACATGCGATTCAGGTGAATTGAGTAAGCTAAAATTGTCAATAGTGTATGTGTGTGAATGAGAGTGTATGAGTGTTTCCCAGTGATGGGTTGCAGCTGGAAGGGCATCCGCTGGGTACAACATGTGCTGGATAAGTTGGCGATTCATTCCGCTGGGGTGACCCCAGAATAATAAAGGGACTAAGCCAAAAAAAATTAGTAAATGAAGGATTGGTAAATCATACAGGTATGATAGCTAATGCAGGACCAGCTGTGGTTAATCATAAGCATGTGATCCTCTCGAAATTAGTACTTGAGATTAAATTGAGATTAAAAAATAAATCTCACTACATTTTTGGAGAAATAAAAAGGCTATGTTGAACCTACTATGTGGACTCGATGCAGAAGCATACATTGGCTTTAAACAGATCGTAATTATTGAGGATCTGATTCTAACCTTTGCCGCCAGGTTCTCCACGAGATCCGGGCAAACCTCTCCCTGGTACACCTGAAGAAGAACAATTGTTTGTCTTTAGGTTAATGGGTTTCTTTCACTAACCATGTATATGACCAAAATGTGTAGTTAATACTGTGTATAAACATTTTGACAAACAAATGATGATACATTAAAAAGTTAATATTAATGCATATTAAAATTTAATCATAGACATACAAAAAAGTGTTATTATAAATGCCCTTATTAACAATTTATAGCAAAATGTTTATGTGTGGATATTTAACTTATATAAAACAGTCATAGAAGGTGTGTTATAACCTGAGCATTGAAAATAACATAATTTCACCTTCAGAGCTAAAGAATCTTACCAGGCTCCCCTCTCTCTCCAGTGAATCCAGGAATGCCATCTTGCCCTGATTGACCTTTTTCCCCATGGGGACCTGGAGGACCCTGTAGACCAGGCTCACCTAGACAAAAATGCCATTAGGATTTTCACCATCAAATGTGAAGTACAGTGTGACTTTTCTGAAGCGTACAGTAATGCATCTTTAATGTCATTTACACTTGTTTTGTTTTTTGTAGGAAGGGTACTACTTTTAGCATAATGTGCATTAAAATGGATAAACGGATTTACCTGGACGTCCTGGAGTCCCAGGTTCTCCTGGGGACCCTGGCAACCCACCAACACCTTTCTCACCAGGCTTCCCTGGACTGCCTGCCCAGGATACAATATGATTTGTACATTATAGTTCATTATAGCAAAGCACTGTATTATAGCATGAGTGAACTAATAACACATGCTGTGTATCTTGCCTGGGTAACCAATCGATCCTTGGTCTCCTTTATGTCCTTGAGTTCCAGGAGTTCCTGTCATACCCATTGTACCCTTCTGTCCCTTCTCTCCAGGCTCACCAGGGAATCCAGGGGAGCCTATATTTCCCTTAAAGTTTGAAATAAAAAATAAATTCCATCACATTTTTAAAGTGCAGATTTTTACTTAATTCTTCTACTCATGCAAACAACACAAACCTTTGTGCCAGGGGGACCAGGGATTCCTATTCCTGGTTCACCAGGATCTCCTTTATCTCCTTTGGAGCCATCAGTCCCCTTAAAACCAGGGTGACCCGGTGAACCACCAACACCTTTAGCACCCTTTGGACCCATTGAACCTAAAAAAAAACATATAGAAAGGTTCTGTTTACACTTAGTATTTAAGTGTGTTTTCAGAAATCTAATCACAAGTGGTCTTCAACAACTCCATTTTTTCCTGGTATTAGCATTTTGTGTTTGAATTTCATTGAGTTTCTTTTCTCTAAATTCATCATGCTCTATATCACGGTCAACAATATAGTCATGCACATACTATTGAATGAACAAATCAAAATTTTCTTTTATTTTAAAATAGCAAGAAAGTAAGCAAATTAAAATAAAGTGGATGGTAACTACAATTTTGATCATAATCTGCATGATTTATTTCAACTCAACAAATAATGAATACATTTTTTTGGTCTTCTTTCTTGCAATATTTTCCACAATTTGTATGCATTTAACCTAATGACAGTAATAGTTAAGTGTTATTTATTCCTTCATTTAAAAACCTGGGTACCTGGGTATCCCATGTCTCCTCTAGCGCCTGTGTCTCCAGGTTCTCCAATGCTTCCTGGTTTTCCAATGATTCCAGGGTCTCCTTTATCACCTGCAATGCATACATTATTGAAATCAAATTGCTTGTACAGTTGAAGTGAGAATTATTAGCTCACTATAATTTTTTCCCCAATTTCTGTTTAACAGAGAGAATAATTTTTCGACACATTTCTGAACATAACAGTTTTAATAACTCATTTCTAATTACTGATTTATTTTACCTTTGCGTGATGCCAGTAAATAAATTTTACTAGATATTTTTCAAGACACTTCTATACAGCTTAAAGTGATATTTAAAGGCTTAACTAGTTTTTTTTTTTTTTTTCAGTTAACCAGGCAGGTTAGGGTAATTAGGCAAATTATTGTATAACAATGGTTTGTTCTATAGACTATCGAAATAAATATAGCTTAAAGGGGCTAATAATTTTGACCTTAAAATGGTTTTTAAAAATTTTTAAACTGCTTTTATTTTAGCAGAAATAAAACAAATAAGACTTTCTCCAGAAGAAAAAAGTATGATCAGAAATGCTGTGAAATTTTCTTGCTCTGTTAATCATTTGAGAAATATTACAAAAATAAAAAATAAAGGGGAGGCTAATAATTCAGACTTTAACTGTATGATCCCATAATACTAACATTATCAAATAAAGATAATTAATATCCAACTATTTTTTTACTTCATATGATTGCTTTAGGGACAAACCTGGCTGTCCAGGTGACCCTGGCATTCCATCTTTTCCTGGCATACCAGGGTCACCAGATGTTCCAGGAAACCCCTTTTCTCCAGTAGGACCAGGATCACCTGCAAAACAAGGTTAAAACACAAAGTCTAATGAGTTTAATTTTAGAGCCCCAACAAGCCTCTGAAATTGAATGTGCTCAGGTTTATATATGATTAAGGCTTTCAACTTCAAGGGCTCTATTTTGACGGTCCATGCGCAGAGTGCAAAACGCAGGGCGCAAACGCTTTCAGGGCATGTCAGAACGCATTTTTGTTAATTTAAGGACGGGAAAATCTGCTTTGCGCCATGGCGCATGGTCTTAAAGGGTTGAGTTTATTTTCTTTATGAGTTATAGGTGTGTTTTGAGAATAAACCAATTAGAGTCTCATCTCCCATTCCCTTTAAGAGCCAGCTGCGTTGCGCCATAAGCGCATTCGCTATTTACAGGATGCAAAGTAAGTCTAAGTGGAAAAAAATGACCATTTCACTAGCAAACAGTTAACAGTTTTTTTTAACAGAAAACTTAAACAGAGCATCTACTGTGTGAGAATGAGAGATAATGAATCTACTTTCACATTCGCTCTTGGATAGGGAAACCTTTTACGCACAGACATCAATTAGTCTATAAATAAATAATTTTGTTTTTTAAGCGCAAATATTCGTTTAAAAACTATTTCTAAATTCATTTCAAATTTCCAGCAAATGAATAAATAAATAATAATAACAAAATGTGCTCAATAACCTGAGTTATATCCTAAAACTCATGCTGTGCCCCATATAGTCTAAAACCTGACAGGTGGGCAAATCTAAGCTTGTTTTTAATAAAACAAATATAAATATGGATATAATAAATAATACTGCTAATAATAATAACATTATACAAAAGCAAATTGTTATGAATGAACTGAATAAGCCTCCCGAGATGAAGAAGACATAAAAGCAGTGATTTTTCATATTTATGTAGGCTAGAAAATAATATGTTTTGTAATATTTTAATCCTTTATATTTATATCCTATATCTATTCTTATTATATCCTATATATATCCTTAATATTTAAATGTTTTCATATGTAAAGATATTTGCCTATTGCTCTCTTGTGCATATTAAGCAGTGCGTAATCGAGGCGCAACTCTGCGCTGGAGTTTAGACCGGGTTTGTTTAGGTCTAATGAAAAATCTATTTTAGTTTCTCAAAATAGCAACGCGCCAGCAGTGCGCCTCAGAATGCCTTCCTTTTTAGACCAGAACGTCTATGGGCACACATATGAGCGCTAATGCATTTGCTATTTAAACAGCGTAGTGCAACGCCTCAAAACGACTCTTGCACCAAGCTGAAACTAGCAAAAGACTATAGCGCTGCGCCTTGCGCCACATTGTGCCAGGTGTACTGTATGATAGGGCCCCAAGACTTTAACCTACAGGACAAACTGTCGATGGATTATCCTAAGCATAATAACACAGTTTTCAACTTTCAGGGCATGCTCACACTAAATACAGTTGCCTTAAACCTTGCTGAAGCGTGACTGTCCCCCTTCCCCTCTTCCCCGAAGGCCTGCACTCAAGCTACATTTTGCCTTCTGAGCCACAGCACACTTACGTCATTGATGAGGTGACTGTTCAGTTTAACACGAAGAGAAGCATTCTCTTTTGACACTCAAGAGATTAGCATTTTTATTAACATTTGACAGTTCACTTTCATTGAAAAGTACGAATGATTAGTGGTCTCACTTTATTTTGATGGTCCGTTTGTTGAATTTAGGAGAGATTAATCAGTAAGTCGACTAATAATTAAATAGACCATCAAAATAAACTGTTACCTGATTAGTAAATCCATATGAAACAGTCCCCTAAAAGTGACGTCACCTCTTCAGTTTCGCACTCAGGCACGCTTTGCGCTCACATTACAAGCGTACCGCACCTGAGCCTGAACCACGCTCAGGAACACCTCTCCCAACCAGACCAGGGCCGGCCAACTTAATGCCTTGGCCCGATTCGGAGCACTCATTGGGAAACGTGCCCATGCATGATGTGGTAATCACTTGAATGTGTTCTTGTCCACAAAAAGAATGACCAAAATCACTTCAGAAGAAAGAAAGCAGTAGAATCAAGGACAGACATCTGAAGATGGCAGTTATAGGGGGCTTGGGAAGTCTTGCACCGTATGTTAAATCGCAAGTAAAAAATCTAGGAGTTATCTTTGATTCTGAGCTTTGTCTAGAAAAACAAATTAGCTCAGTGGTTAAGAATAGTTATTATCAGCTGAGGATCATCTCCAGACTCAAATCCATTCTTTCCTTTCAAGATCTGGAAAAGGTCATACATGCTTTTATCACGTCCCGCCTAGACTATTGCAATTCTTTATATGTTGGTCTCCCCCAATCCTCATTGGCACGGTTTCAGTTGGTTCAAAATGCGGCAGCTAGACTTTTAACAGGCACCAAACAACATGCTCATATCTCTCCAGTTTTAGCATCCATTCATTGGCTTCCTGGTAATTTTAGAATTCAGTTCAAGGTTTTACTTATTGTTTTTAAAGCACTGAATGGGCAAGCACCTTCTTATATATCAGAGCTCATTAACTTACAGTCAACTCCTCGGTCTCTTAGGTCCTCAAATAAAATTTTACTTCAAATTCCTCGGTCACGACTTAAATTGAAAGGGGATAGAGCCTTTGCAGTCGCTGCTCCTTTTTTGTGGAACCAGCTGCCACCGGATATTACAAGTGCTTCTTCTCTCTCTATTTTTAAGTCTAGATTTAAAACACATTTTCATTGTATTGCATTCATAGGCTTTTAATCTTTATTGTGGTTGTTGCTGTAATACTTTTTTTCCTATTATTACTTTTATTGTTATTTTTTACTCTTTTAGAGTGTGTGCTATGGTTTTGTTCAGCACTTTGGTCAGTGCCAAACTGAAGTAAATGTGCTTCATAAAAAAACTTTACTTACTTACTTACTTGTAGATTGCAAGTGGGTATTTTTCTGATTTTCTGATTTCTGATTATTCTGATTTTTCTGAAGTCAGTTGTTAGCACATGTAACGGTGGCCAGTTAGTAAGTAGGTTCAGGTAAACCTCAATGTTTCTAGTCCTTTAACAGGCCGGCGGTCGTTTCTGTGCGTAGTTTGCATGCTCTTCCCGTGCTCACGTGGGTTTTCCCTGGGTCTTCCGGTTTCCTCCCACATTCCACAAACATGCACAACAAGTGAATTGATCAATCTAAATTTAGCACTACAGTCGATCACTCATCCTGCAGCATATCTCTTCATAGCATTCATTTTAGTCATCAGCTCTTATCAAGGGGGAGTTGTCGAGATCTACCTGATCTCAAAGCTCCTCTCTCGCCCTGCAAACGGGAGGGAGCCCAGGGCTCAAGGACCTTTTGAGCTAAGGGCTCTCTTCCGGGACAGCTTGCCAAACTTGCTTATAATCAATCATCAGCTAAGTGTGAACTCTTGAAATATCCTTTTGCAACGACATACAATTTTTTATTCTAAATTCATTTCTGCTTTCTGTACCTCTGTCTCCTATGTCTCCTTTATCCCCTTTCATGTGTTCCATGTCCACATCACTCATATTTCCAGGTGGCCCCTGTAGACCCGGCTCTCCTCTCTCACCCTTGGTGCCTAAATCACCAAAGTCTCCTCTGATGCCAGGCATACCTGGGTCACCTGAAAGAGGCACAATAATGTCATTAATAATGCCATGACACTGTAATAAGTAACACAACAGATCCTTTTTCTATCCAAATAATAGCAATTGTAGGGCGTCAAAGTGGCGCAGTGGATAGCACGGTCGCCTCACAGCAAGAAGGTCGCTGGTTTGAGCTCTGGCATTTCTGTGTGGAGTTTGCATGTTCTCCCTGTGTTTGCATGGGTTTCCTCCGGGTGCACCGGCTTTCCCCACAGTCCAAAGACAGTATAGGTGAATTGAATAAACTACATCGGCCGTAGTGTATGTGTGTGAATGCAAGAGTGTATGGGTGTTGGGTTGTGGCTGGAAGATCCTCCGCTGCTTAAAACATATGCTGGATAAGTTGGTGGTTCATTCCGCTGTGGTGATCCCATATTAATAAAGAGACTTAGCCGAAAAAAAAAATGAATGAATGAATGATAGAAATTGTTTCTATTGTGTGTTCACATACCCTTTTGCCCAGGATCTCCAGGATTTCCAACTAAACCTTGAAATCCTGGTGGTCCTGCCATTCCCATGATTCCAATTTCTCCTTTTGGACCTGAAAAACAAATTCAAATATGAATTCTTTTGAGCAACAAAAAATCAGCATCTAATAGGCTTTATTAGATGGCAAGGAGTAAACACTCACCACGTTCGCCAGGAAAGCCATCTTTTCCAGGAACTCCTGGTTGCCCAGGCAAACCCTTTGATCCTGGTAGACCTGGGACACCAGGGCTACCTCTGTCTCCTGGAGGGCCAGGCATGTCCAAACCAGGTAGTCCTTGATAACCCTTGTCACCCTTTATTCCAGACTGGCCTGGGACATTACCAAGACTTGTCACAAACTATGTCAAATGTGAACATCTGGGCATGTAAGTGTGGGTGCTAGGCAATAGAAACATCTCACCAATAGGTCCAGGGCCTCCAGGTGGCCCCATTGGTCCAGGAGCTCCAGGTTCTCCCAGTCCTGGAGGACCTGGTGGCCCTAGTGCACCATGGACTCCAGGTGGTCCAGGGTTACCTGCAAAAGTAACAAAATTAATCAGGAGCTATTATAACACTTCTAATTACCCCCTACATTTGTGTAAGCCATCAATCATACACAGTCCTATAATAATATATTATAATATAACTACCTTTCTGTACCTAACTGCTAATCTTTGTTCCTATTCTCCCCTATGGTCATGAGCTTTGGGTCATGACCGAAAGAACAAAATCTCGGAAACAAGCGGCTGAAATGAGTTTCCTTTGCAGGGTGGCAGGGCACACTCTTATAGACAGGGTGAGGAGCTCTGTCACTCTGAAGGAGTTTTGGAGTAGAGCCCTTGCTCCTCCACATCGAGAGAGGTCAGCTGAGGCAGCTCGGGCATCTGTTTCGGATGCCTCCGGGATGCCTACCAAGGCAGATGTTCCAGGCATGTCCCACCAGGAGAAGGTCTCGGGGAAGACCCAGGACACGCTGGAGTTATTATGTCTCTTGGTTCACCTGGGAACACTTCGGGAACCCCCCGGAGGAGCTGGAGGAAGTGTCTGGGCAGAGGGAAGTCTGGAGTTCTCTCCTAAGACTGCTACCCCCGCGACCCAGGCCTGGATAAGCGGATGAAAATGACATGATGTGATGACAACTGTACCTTTAAGTCCTTGAGGTCCAGGTGGCCCAGTACGTCCTTCTGTTCCAGGAACCCCTGGCATTCCAGTATTACCCTTTTCCCCTGGAAATCCTGGCACTCCTGGTAGACCTGTAGTACCCTTAGGACCAGGAAGACCCCTGCCAGGTTCACCCTGCACATAATATGGATCATAGTCAATGAACAAAGTCAAATAATTTCTATTTTCTATAAAAAGAGCAATACTTGAATATCTGAATGACATCCACCATCATACTTTTTGACCAGGTGTTCCTGCGCGACCAGGTAAGCCATCCTGACCTGGTTCGCCAGACTCTCCTGGGATTCCACTTGGTCCTGGAATACCAGAGTACCCTAGCAGAAGAAAATATGATCAGTTAGAAAGACATGTAGATAAATGATATAACTTAAACATTTTGACACCCATTTATGCAAAGTAATTTTCACTACAATCAGCAACACTAACAGCTAAAATGTGCATTTGCCAGAACATAACGTTTCTGTTATTTTCTTTTTTTAAAGGGGCTACTGAAGCATTGTTGCCATTGCATTTTGCACATTCAACCATGAAGCAGAGTTTGCAGAAATGGACAAAACACCAAATGATCACACTCAGGCCCTGTTTACACTAATGCGTTTTAGTTTGAAAACGCATAAGTTCTGCAACGGTTACGCCAACCATCCACACTACGCCGGAGTTCTCGAGCGCCGAAAACGGAGCGTTTCGAAAACGCTGGAGAGGCCGTTTTCATTCTGAAACGCTGCTGCTCCGTCTCAGTGTGGATGATGGAAAACGGAGACATCTGAAAACGGAGGCGGGGCTGCAGACATTCGCCTCTCTGATTGGAGCTTTTCCTGAATATTAAGTAGCCTACACACACAGTTCAGTCCTGCATCTTCTCCGTGTAAGTTCAGACTTCGCAAGTTTGATCAAGGCTGCAGTCTCTTCTTGTCAGTTTGATATGGACAACAGACTATACCGAGGACACGGGTAAATCTTCAAGGGGGACCAGTGTACTTTATAACTTCATTCACCCTGGCTACGTTGTTTCACTTTCTCAACAATAAAATGTAAACATGATTTAAGGAACTGCCTATTTTCATTTTAATATTAGCAACCTAGACAGCAGAAATGTTGAGGTGTCGTGCTGCATGAGCGTCATCTTCACTGTGTGGATATTTATAACAAAACGGAGCCGATAACAACTGCCTCCTTTCAATTTCAGTGAAAATACGAAACACACCCTCTCTTTTGCTGAATATCAGTTTTAATAATCGATAATGGCCATTATAAAAGTATAACATACAATAAGTTTATACATTATAGGAAATAAAGGCAAGCGATCAGTCAATATACAGAATAGGCTACGTGGTTACATTAATCATTAACTTATCTTTGCGCTTAGCCAAAACACGTTACCTGAGAAAAAGTAATAGATTCCAATGACCAAAGTCGGAATATGTCGTTAGATAAAGACAACAAGATGAATGAAATATCCCGTTTAATAAATATAGTGAGATTAGATCCAGCGGGAGATGCTTGATGAGAAGTCCGACTAGCACAGCTCTCATCTGGGTAGATGGGCTGCAGCGCTTGCCCAAGAGTGTCTGTGTGGTCACGTGATGTGCGTTTTCAGCGTTTTGGTGTGGACGGAGAGCAGTTCAGAAACGCTGGGTAAAACGCGAGTGTGGACGCGGATCGTTTCCATTCTAAAACGCCGTTTTAAAACTAAAACGCACTAGTGTAAACGGGGCCTCAGTGAGGCACCTCAGTAAGTCATTAATATGCCATAAACTAATCTGGGGTGTCTGGTTGTCTGAACTGTGTTCCATTGTATATGTTCATTCTCAACTAGGGGCTTAGTTGCAGTGTCCAAAAAAATGCAGCATTGACTGACATGGAGAGCTACAATCAGCCTCACCATGATTTCTACATCATAAATGGAACCCGCTGTCAGAAGCATTCATAATTCCTACTACTTGCTGAACTGGTGCATTATTTACTAACCAAACAAACCAAGGTTTTATTGCTAGTATTTAGAATGATCTCAGGTTACGGTTAAAAAAAATAGTGTCAAGTGCAGATTATTCAGAATGTCCCACCTAAGTGACATCACTGATATCAATCTGTTATCAGCAGTGATATCAGTTTAAAAGATACAGTTGCATTTCCTCTTTAATCATAAACAGACTGTTATAGTTTGGCATTTGCAGTTTACCTTTTGGCCCCGGGGGTCCTGGAAGTCCAATTCCTGGCAGTCCAGGGTCACCTTTATCTCCAGGGAATCCTGGAACCCCACGTTCACCTGGAAATCCTCTATCACCTGGGCAACAAAAGAGAAATCAACACAACCAACTCTGCCTTGTAGAAATGATTGCAGTTACTGAGAATGATGACACAATCATATCCATTAAATGTACCTTGAAGACCAGGTCTACCACTCTCTCCACGAGGCCCTGGGGCACCCTGAGGCCCAGGTAAACTTATGACTTTACCAGCTTCACCTTTAGCTCCTACAAATAAAAATTAGGGATTAGGGCTTTACTAAAGAACAGTAAACCTCTAGACTTTAAATCACTGACCTTGTAGTCCTGGCCTTCCTGGTGCACCAGGGAATCCTGCAGAGCCCTTATCTCCAGGTTGACCTGGCCGACCTATACCTGGTTCACCTGGGGGACCTCTTTCGCCTGGAGGGCCAGGAACTCCAAAATCTCCATCTGGGCCACGATCACCCTTAATTCCGAATTTAGCCTAACCATAGAAAATATAATCAATAAATCAGACATTTCTACGAATAATAAAATATTGTAGAAGAGACAACAGAACTTGGTGCACTAGAAAAAAAGACACAAAAGAGAAGTATAATTGGCATATGTCTAAGAGTTAGCACATACAGGCTCTCCCTTGGTTCCAGGATATCCTGGTCGTCCATCTTTTCCTGGGAGCCCATCAACACCCGGGAATCCTCTGTCTCCAGTAGTACCAGGTAAGCCCTTATCTCCCTTCAGCCCAGGAGCCACAAATATATCACCAGGTTCACCTTGAGCACCAGGTTTACCCATCAAACCTGGAGCACCATTAAAACCCTACAAAATACACAAAAACATGCAAAATAGGAAATTGTAAGATTCCAAAATGTTTTACAGTATATCTACATTTATATTTTGCACAGAGCAAATCTGTATCTATTCTAAATTATTTATTGTTAAATTACAATGCAAAATAAACTTACAGCATTTCCAGCTGGCCCACTGGGCCCTGGCAAACCCTTCTCGCCTTTAATACCTGCTGGTCCAGGAAAACCTGAAATAAAAACATCCAATATCATGCATAATCCAAGAATAAAACTATATACTAAAACAGGGTTTTTCAAAGACTAAGACAGTGGGCCTCCCTTTTGACACAACTTATCCATTGGCGCCCCCCTCCTCCCAAACATGCACGCACGCGCACACACACACACACACACACACACACACACAAATTCTGGAGGATTTCTTGCTACCTCATCATGCTTGGTTTCAAGGTGTCGCCGAAGTTTAGCGGGTCTCATGCTGTCATTAGCCAAAATATCTTGACAAACCACACATAAAGGTGTGGTCATCTGCTGGTCCTGTCCACGTAAATCCTAAACTCAAATACTGATAATCATATCGTCGTCTTTTGGGTTTAAGCCCTGAACTTGAAGGCTTTGAATCGGGGGTCTCAGAAACCGATTCATTGCATTAGCAGCATGATTAGCAGGCATATACCTGTAATGGCGGGCTTGTCAAACAGAAGCGAATTCACAGCTATGGCCTTCTGGGTAAAAAAGGTTTTCTTATTTTTAACGTATTATTTTTTTAGCTTTGTTTACTTAAAACGTTTAAAAATACTAAAAATACATATAATAATTAAACTTAATAATTATATTTTTATTATATAACATTTTTTCCCGCGCCTCCCCTGACATGCTCTGGCGCCCCCCAGGGGAGGCGCGCCTCACACTTTGAAAACCCCTGTACTAAAACAAAGCCTTGCTCATTGCTTCTTACCTTGCAGACCCTTTGGCCCTTGAGGACCAGGCAAACCAGGGGGACCAAAAGCATTGCACTCTGTGCATGTTTCACCTTGATCACCTGTATGAGTAGAGCAGTTCAGAAGTGATTTAGAGGAATCAAAACTACAGTGAACAAATGACTGACCTAATGTCTCTCACCTTTCTGTCCCACCTCTCCTTGCAACCCTGGAGGTCCCGGAGGGCCTGGAGCTCCTTTTGTAACATCACATTCTTCATCTAAAATAATAACACAGTGTCACTCTGAACTTGATAATAAATGGAACAACACAAGCCTCTTCACACATGGTGCCATTTGCTTTGCACTTGAAAACAAAACTATGACAAGTTGATATCCTGACATGATCATTTGTGTTTATTATGCTCTTACTAATAGGTCCTGGCGGTCCGGGTGGGCCAGGTTGCCCATCAGTTCCTTTGGGACCTGGAAAAGACCGTCCATCGGCTCCTTTTTCTCCTTTCTTGCCAATCTCTCCAGGGAAGCCAGGTGGTCCAGGAGGACCCTCGATATATCTGCCTGCAGTCAATCATGATCACAAGGGAAAGAATCATTATTGTGAACTACAGTGCTACAAAATGCTAACCTAATCCTATCAAAGTGTTTTTTTCTCTCACCTGGGGGACCAGGAGCTCCTGGCTCTCCTTGAAAACCTGATACATTTAAAAGCAGATGAACAGATAATAAGACTGAGCAATCTGACAAAGACAACCACATATGGACAAAGACATTATACAGACATTACCTGTTTCTCCTTCTGCTCCAGGGAGGCCTGGAGGACCAGGAGGGCCAGGAGAACCAGCACCCTGTAAGTTAATTATTTTAATTTGTTTCCACCAGTCTATGACATTGTACTAAGTGCATGATGTTTAGAAGCAGTATAGGACTTGTTATCGTTCAGTACAGTTTTAGATGATAGATTTAGATAACACGTACATATCCTGGTGGCCCTCTTTCTCCTTTGTCACCCTGAACAATGAACACAAATTGTGAGTAAAATAAATTAAATAGGTCAAATCATTTATATCTCTCATGAACAATAATAATGAAATTTCTTACCTTGAAGCCATCAAGTCCCGGATTACCAGGGAAGCCGATTTCCCCCTATCACAAAAGTGTTCAAAAATAATAAGTGTGGCCAAAGTATTTGAAATTAAAAAACACGTACAAGTAGCTAATGCTACACTTGATCATGAGATCTGAAATCTTTATCTAAGATTAATATGCTCTACCTTTTCTCCACTCTGTCCATCTTTCCCTGGTTTCCCCTTTGAAAAAAATGAAATACATAAATTGAAGCTCAGATTTTCAACAGCCATTTCTAAGAAAAAAAAACAAACAAACATGCAATGTAATGCAAATGATCAGATATTCTTGCTTACACATAAGGCCAATATGCTAAATGAATAATCTCAAATCCTTCTATAAAACCATAATTATCACTTTAGGCTTGTTTCAAACAGCTCAAGTGCTGCTGTATGATGTTTCCTGATATTTCATTGCATTCAATAACGTTAGTTAGCTTGCTATTCACAGAAGTCATGCTAAAATGAATAAGCATTCATTAAACGATTTATAAATCTATATAAATCACATAAAAAAATAAGTTGTCATCCATAATCACCCCATCTTATAAGTGGAAAATATTGCATGAAACAAAACTAAGCCTTCAGACGCCCCTTATAAATTTACATTTCTTTAACTCAGCATTTTTTTTTATTATTAATCTGATGATATAAAGAAAAATGTTAGAAAAGAATAACTAATTTTGAACCCCATAGAACATGTGACAAAACTTTGAGGGCCATAGCTGACAAATTAAAGATTGCATGTATTGTTTAGATCAGAGATGCCCGATTTTTGGCCCGTGGTAATCTTTGATTTGGCCCACCATGCCATCTGAGAATGGTTTAGAATGTTTTATTTTAAATTTAATGTCACGTTATATTTGTTTGCTTTATTGTTAATGTATAAAACAATCTGAAATTAAATGTTTTAATGGAAATGGTGTAATTTAATCAAATTTTGTTTCAAATATATACGAATCAAGCGAATTCTGCCTTTGCGAATCAAGCCAAAGGCAGAATTCTGCTTGACAGCATTGAACTTGTGTTATAAATGTGATTGTTTATTCTTTTATTGCAATAAGCTAGAATTTAAAAAGTTATACTGCATTAGTTAATACAATCCAAAGTGATGTGATATATATATATATATATATATATATATATATATATATATATATGTTTATATATAATATCATGAAATGAATTTGGAAATTACCCATGGCAATTTTAATCTTAAAAGCATGGCAGCTAGCTCTCTGCAACTTCCACATGGTAGCCCACTAAAGCTAAGCAGGGCTGTGCTTGGTCAGTACTTGGACGGGAGACCACATGAGAAAGCTGGGTTGCTGCTGGATGTAGTGTTAATGAGGCCAACCCGCGGTCTGTGTAGGTTCTAATGCCCCAGTATAGTGATGGCGACTCTATACTGCTCAGTGAGTGCTGTCTTTTGGATAAACGTTAAACCGAGGTCCTGACTCTCTGTGGTTGTTAAAAAGAGTAGGGGTTTAACCCCCACATCCTGGCAAAAATTGCCCACTGGCCTCTGTCCATTATGGCCTTCTAACCCTCCCAATATCATAATTGGCTTCATCACACTGCTCCGCTCCACTAATCAGCTGGTGTGTGGTGTACGGTCTGGGGCATGGTGGTGGTAGTGGATGAAGAAGTTCCCCCTTATGTATAAAGTTCTTTGAGTGCCCAGAAAAGCTTTCTATAAATGTAAGAAATTATTATTATTATTATTATTATTAAATGGTTTTTGGCCCTTTATGCAAAACAATTTGGGCACCCCTGGTTAAAATAAACATGCAGGTATGTTCTTGTAAATGCCACTTACTATTGGCCCTGGTGGTCCTGGTTCACCTTTTATTCCATGCTGATGTGGTGCACAGGAACCCTTGGTGCAAAAACAAAAAGAATTATTCCTATTGCTTAAATTTTTGTAGACTAAGATTCAAATGGTAGAATCACTAAAGATCAGATATGCTTACACAATATATACTAATTACATAAATGAATTATTAATGTCTATAATGTTGGATTTTAAAATAAAATATTACTACTAATTACTATGAAACACTTAACTATTTGTATTAGTTTATGTGTGCCACTTACTTTGTCTCCTTTGTCTCCAGTAGAGCCTGTCTCACCCTAGAAAACATGCAAGATATATGGAATACTCAGCAATGTAATGCTATCTAAAGCAGCACACAAAAATACATTAGTTTTACTAAAGATTTGATGATGTACCGGTGGTCCAGGAAGATAAAGTGTTGTGGCAGGGCCTTCGTATTCCTCTGACCTTCCTGGAGGACCTGGGGGGCCGGTTAAACCTCTTTGTCCCTGATAAGAGGAGACAGGAATAATGATTAAAATTATTGAGATCTAAACCAGGAAATGTGACTGTTGTGATGATGCAACATTGGAAAAATTACAATAATATGCACATTGATTATATCAGTATTTCTTAACTAGATCCTGGAGGACAATCAGCTCTGCACATTTACCATGTCTCCTTAACCAAACACACCTGATTTAGATCATCAGCAGAGACTGAAAAACTTGTAATAGGTGTGACAGGCAAAGGAGATATCCAAAGTGTTGGTTGTCCTTCAGGAATGTGGTTGGAAAACATTGGTTCATGACATACTGTATAGCCAACTTCTAATCATGTTTAACACTAAGAAGCACACAAATATAACTCTAGTTCGCTAACTTTTCCTAGATTTGCGTGCATTTCATTCTAACATTGTTATTTTACAAATTACAAAGCACAAAAGAGTTTTTAATATTTATACTTTGATCATACTGATCAAATTGGGCGCATGCATGTGTCCGCTATTTTTTTCTGTGCTTTTGAATATGCATGCCTCTGTTGCCTAGCATCGTTCTGATAACAAAAACACAACTTTCATATATGAAAAAACATAATTATACTTCAGACATGTCTTTCAAACTTTTATGAAACACATTTTCATTTTGGAAAAAGAAAATGTTGCTTTCCCGCTTGTCAGACAAAGTGAGGCACACAACTTTGGGGGCAGTCTAGTAATTTGTACACAAATACAAGCTATATTACAGAAATTTAAGGTAATAACTTTGCAAAATATGATGACAGACAATCAAATATTAAATAGAAAATCTCTTTGAATATAGGCTTTGAATAAAAATATGATCATTAAAAATTAAAAATTTAATTTGGTACAATTGAATATGAATGGTGAGAATTGCCTCTATTGCAGTTCTAGTAGTTATAAAGTTTAGGTATGAAACAGAAAGTATTTCACACTGATAAGGGAAAAAATAGCATTAATTTGAGTGAGGAATACTTTTTTGTTTTCATTATTGATTTTTATAATGAGAAAAGTCCATTCAGGGGGAAAAACTGCATGCAAACAAGAATGTGTTTATAATAATATAGTGTGAAAGTATATTAGGCAGGATTAACAGTTCAAGGTGTGGTAAGTTTGACACCCAGTGGTTAAACAAGTAATTGCACACCTAGTTCAAAACACATGCAAGCACAGGTTGCCAGCTTGACGACACCAACAGCAGACTGTCAGAGATGAGGGCTGATTTAAACTCTGTTCTAAATTAAAGCAATGGCACGCGATAGAGGGAATATTTTCCATATAATTTTTTTTTTTTGTTCTAACAAACACCTGAAACTAATATTTTAAAAATGGTTTCTGTTTCTTGCAGCTGACCAACAGGACAAACTGACAATGATAACCTCAAGTGCTTTATTCAGTGTTAAATGCTAATAATATGAGCTTGAGTGCCATTTTACATGACATTTTGTTGTCAAAATAAAACCAGCATCAGATAGTTCACCTCTGGTCTTGAAAATATAATAAACTGTTTGAAAGTAAACTTTAGAACTGGCACTCGGAGCAAATAAACAAGCTGTCTAATAATTCAGGGGGCTAATAATTCTCACTTCAACTGTATGTATCTGTTCCCGATTTCTCTCATTGATTATGGCACTCGATGTGACTATGCTAATTTTTAATCAGCAATCAATTTTTAAAGCTATTGAACTTTAAAGTTACCCACATTATATTTTTTTAAAAAGTAACTCAAATAATAATACTTTGTTTTTGACGCATTGCTTTACTTGTTACTTAGTAAAGTAATATTATTACATAACTCGCATTAATTGTAATGCATTACCCCAACACTGATATATTGCAAGTGCCACGATACTGTAAGAAAATCTAGAACTCACCTTTTCCCCTTTCTCACCAATAAAGGTCAGCTTGTCACCCTGCAAAACATCAAGTAAGACAGACACTAGTTATCAGGTAAGACAATCACTAGCCACTATTCACTTTTAGAGACCAAACACAAACCCTTACCGGCTCTCCTTTTTGTCCAGGATCACCTGGTCTTCCCTTAAAGCAAAATAGCATGATGTGAGATCCGAGACGGAGTTCACTATGTTAATTGATTGTGCATTAAGCTGTTATTTGTTTCAGAGATTTGAGCCTAAGACTCACCGGAGGTCCATAAGGTCCAGGTGGACCAACAGGCCCTTGTTGTCCAGCATTACCTTTTTGACCCTAAAATTAGAAAAGAGAATAAATTAATGTTTGGAAACAGTGAATATATGTGTACAAATAGGAAACACAGAGAAATGCATTAAATAAAAAAATATGTTTACTGGGAAACCGTGTTGTCCTGGCAAGCCTCTGTCTCCTTTTAGAGGGATGGGTAATCCAATAACACCACCTGGATCACCCTGTGAAAGTGAAATTTAGTACACACACAAGTTTGATTCAGTTACTTGACAGAGGATCTCAACACTTTATATAAAGTTTCCAATTGGTTAACAATAGATCATTATTAATGAGCAGTGAATATGCTTTTTGGGCAAACTTTTGCCCAATTTTTGCCTACTGAACCAATCACAATGCTGATTGCAGGTGAAAATTTAGTCTGGGATGCTTTGATGTCTACTTTTGACCACTTCCATATTTGATTAATATTACCATACTGCAATTAACAACATTTTGTTAAAGCAACTATATACTGTAAAACATGTTGTTGTTTCAACTCAAAAAAAAAAATTCTTTGTACTGCCTTCAATTTTAAGTTTACTTCACTTAAATTATGATATATAGTGGATATAAGTGTATTTATTTAATTCAAAATGTATTTGTTTTTATTTACACATATTTGTATTATATAAAACTCGGTTGTTTGAAGCAGTTCAATTAACTAATATATAGGAGATTAGCTGACACTTTTTGTTTTAAGTCTAATAAGTTTACCTAAGTAAAGCTTTGATATATATAGACCTTTTTCTTAGCTGCTGCATGGAGGGTGCCATAGCCACCAGCGTCTTAAGGTAGAATGTTTAGACTTCCGCTTACAATAGGTAATTTGCAATCCGAAAATGGGTTTCAATAGTGCTTTGAGTGGATTACGGAGTGATTTTGTGACACACAACTTTGAAAAGTGTTAAAGCCGTTATAATCTTTCAGATGTGGTTCAAGCGTGAGAGAAAATGTTCTCCTAGGTCACGTGTCTTCCGTCAGAAATTTGTGTGTGTGTGTGTTCCCGATTTGTCAGCTGTTAGTTCAGCAGCTCTTCAATGCGTGCTCCAACTATTGTTTCAAAGCTATCCAAATGTGACTGTTTATACGTATCAGCTGCCGAACTGAAGATCTGCGCATACACGCAAAGCACAAGGGGAATTTTGTCTTTCTAAAAAAAAGGTCTATACAGTGAGTGACACTTCAAAATGACCATTATCGCCACAAGTGGCACCGCCACCGCACTAAAGGATAAAGAACATGTTTTAGGTGCAACAGCAGTTTGCGATTATGCCACCAGGGGGCACAAAAGGATGGAATCCGAATGGACAGAAATATACAATAGCTGTAAATACCCTGCTAAGGAAGTTCTTTCAGTATTATTATCTTGTATGCATTAGCTTGCAGTGAAACAAATTAGACAGACTTTGAAAATGGTTACACCGTGCATGCTGACTGAATAACAAAGCGTTTTTTTTTTGTTTGTTTTGTTTTTTGCCCTTTGTTATTCCTTCAGAATGACAGACATTTATTTAGTTTTATCAAACACATCTTGTCCTGTGCTGTTTTAACAAATGCCATTACAATCTGTGTTTAATTTATCTATTTGTTTGCTTATTTTTGGGATTTTGTCATAATCTAAATAAAACCAAAGGATTTAGAAATCAAACATTATTTTCACCCCAACGCAATTTAAAAGGGCACTATAAAGGCTAAAGAACTTAATTCCTATATTTGCTTAATTTTTGCAGCTTAGTGCTATGCTTCTCACCACGTATTGTAGACATCTTTTAAAAGCATGTTTATTACTAAGAAAACCAAACAACCAAACAAAATTATATTTAAATTGAACATATCATATAAGGTTTACATACAGTACCGTCCTATCTAGTATTGTGAAAAAGCAAAGCTGAAAATTTATGGTTAAATCACCACCCAGCGGTCAAAAGCTGCACGCGCACTTACAACTGCCACAGCGACAGCAAGCATTTGACTAGGGAACATATTGAAATGTTAACATCTGTAAGTTATGTCAACACATTCAATCTTGATCATTTAACTTTACTTAAAATTTTAAGACTTGATAAGTAATTGGTCGCAATCATTTATATTGATTTACAATGACCATGTTTGGTTTAGGGATCCTATATGCTTCTTTTGCTTTAAGTTCACTGTTAAAAGAAAATTTCTATTGTTAGAATGTTGGTAATAGTGTAAGTTTCTAAATGTATTTGTAAGCAAAATATGTTTTTTTATAGCACAGAAAAAGGAACACAACAGCCTCCTTTTTCTACAACCATGTAGGACAGATTTGTTTTAAATGTACAGTATATTTAGGGTAAACATCAGTGGTAAAATCACTGTGTCAAGTATTGGCTTTAATGTGGTATTGCTTTGGAATGTACAGCAACTTTAGAACAAGTTCCATACCTTTCCTCCCTTAATACCTGGTATACCCTGTGAAAGATTCAGAAAGACATGTGTTAAGTTGAGATTCTGTTAATGGACTAGATTACCACCTAATATCAAATAATGTGTACAACTGTATGTAATGACACAAAATAAATGTGATAAAAATGGGAAATATTTGAGGCACGTGATATAAAATGAGTCATACCGGTGGTCCCAGCAATCCCGTAATACCTGGGATCCCATCAAATCCTCGCTCCCCCTGCAAAGCACAAATAAAGACAAATAAAGAGGTTTTATGATTAACTGAAGACATAGAATTATTATCCTACATGGATCATGTTAATCGTGGATGGACTAGCAGGTTCATAGGTCTCAAAAACACTCTTTGTACCTTTGTTCCATTGCAGCCTGGGATTCCTTGAGGTCCAGGTGCTCCTTCTAGACCAGGAAGACCCTGACAGAAAAATCATATTATAATGGTTTCTCCGGAAATTCACTGTATTTATACATGTCAATAAAATTTCTTAAAAGAAAAACTAAAATCAACTTACTGGAATACCTGGACGTCCTGGGAAACCAGCTTGACCAGGTAGGCCCTACAACACATTTACAGTATATACATGCTAAATGGATAATATTTCCTACACATCCATACACATTCCTACACAAGTTTTGCAGATGAACTTGTAGCTTGACTTTCATTAATAAAAATAATACAGATCAACCAATAACTGAACGATAAACCAGTTGTCTGAAATAGCTCAAATGTGCATCTCATGAAACTTCATTTCAAAAGCACATACAGAAGACAACAGTTGAGTTACAAATCATGACAGTAGATAAACATGCAGGAAAAAATCAGTGTCAACAGCTAAATGGAGAAAGAAGAGACAGACAGACAGATGTTCAGATGGATGGATTAGATAGACAGACAAACAGACAGACAGACAGACAGACAGACAGACAGACACTTAGATAGACAGACAGACAGACAGACAGACAGATAGATAGATAGATAGATAGATAGATAGATAGATAGATAGACAGACAGACAGACAGACAGACAGACAGACAGACAGACAGACAGACAGACAGACAGACAGACAGACAGACAGACAGACAGACAGACAGACAGTTAGATAGACAGACAGACAGACAGACATGTTTGGCCACTTACTCTGCTTCCTTTAATTCCTGGTGCTCCTATCTCCCCTCTGTCACCCTGGTAAAAAAAAATCATTATTATTATATTATGTAAAGAAAAAGAGGAAAGAGATATAGATTCTACATGTAACTTAAGGATGTGTTCGGAATTGGTGAAATGTACAATACCTTTGGCCCCATTGACCCTGGAGGGCCCTCATGACCTTGCATTCCAGGAAACCCAACAAGGCCCATCAAACCAGGGAGCCCAACCTCACCCTAATGCGGACAAACAAAAGGTCATGATTTCAATGAGTTTCATCTTCTCCTTTTCTCTTTTTATTTAATTTACTTTTTACTTATATTTAGATCACACTTGACCATTTTTTACATTATTTAAGCAATGGATTAATGTACAATTAATGTACACAAAATAAAGGTCAACTTATCATCAGTCAGCATTTGTTGTATCTGAAGACTGAAGGGCTTTATTTGGCAAAAATACCACCTAGATGTACATTATCTGAGCTACTTGCCATAAAAGTAAACGATTAGGCCCAAAACATTGATCTGACTGGAAATAACTCATCAACCCTTTAAATAAACGTAAAGCTTACAGAAACAAAAATGTATTAAAATAAATATTTATTCAGCCAAAAGATGGCGCCAAATAATGAAAAAACAGCATCTTGAAATATAATCACAAAAACATAAATATGAATGCATTCACATCAGTCAAGATGATTTGTAGTATGCAGATGAGCCTGTGCTATAGGTTCCAGTGGTTGTTATTGGGGAATAGCAAAACTTGGAATATCATAATGAACCATTCATTCATTCATTCATTCATTTTCTTTTCAGGCTTAGTCCTTTATTTATCTGGGGTCATGAACCGCCAACTTATCCAGCACATTTTTTACACAGCAAATGCCCTTCCAGCTGCAACCCATCTCTGGAAAACATCCATACACACTCATTCACACTCATACACTGCGGACAATTTAGCCTACCCAATTCACCTGTACCGCATGTCTTTGGACTGTGGGGGAAACCAGAGCACACGGAGGAAACCTACGCGAACGCTGGGAGAACATGCAAACTCCACACAGAAACGCCAACTGACCCAGCCGATGATCGAACCAGCATCCTTCTTGCTGTGAGGTGACAGTACTACCTAATGCTCCACAACGTGGCCAAAGTAATGAACCAATCAGTTAAGTATCCTAGTGATGTGTAATGATGCTAGTTAATGTGTTTACTAATATGATTTAAGAATAACCACTGCAACAAAAAAAAACTTTTCTCGCTTAAAAGTTTTTGTCTTTTTTGTCTTTTTTTGTTTTTAGTCCAAATATCTACAAATCAAGAAGAATTTTCAAGGCAAGCAAAACAAATTGGTCTTGTTTTCAGATATGTCAAAATTAAGTAGTTTTCTTTAGTTTTGCAAATAATCTGCCAATGGGGTAAGATAAATAATCTTATTTCAAAGCAAAATAATATTTCTTCTTGTATAGAAAGTGTTTCTTGACTTGAGACTTTTTTAATATTTGTTTTTGAAACAAGAAAAAAATCTCTAATTAAAAGTTTGCAGTGAATAATACAGCATTTATAATTGCAGCTGATGTTAAATTTAACATTTGCCAATGCTTTATTCAAATCAAAGTTGTGCTTGTTAACTTGTGATTGTATTTTCATTTAAAAAAACGTTGACAAACATTATGCAAAATACTACAATAAATGTATAGGTGGTTGTTTGTTTAGGTTAGTAAATACAATACCTAACATAAACCAATGAGATCTCATTATTGCTACTGTATATGTTGTATAAATCTCTTAACCATTCACTACATTAATGAACTTTGAGGAATGGCAGACAATGTTGTTAATACGCATGCACCACTAGATGGCGCAACAGATCAGTGTTCTGACAATATGAACTACATGAAAAGGTCATGAATGCACACACTCTCACACGCATGAGTGTTTGTGTGCAGTGAAGTTCAACAGGCCTAAAGCCAGCTGTTTATATTCTCCTCTACACCAATAGATAGTACAAAAACGTGACACAGCATTTCCCCAAACATCATTTTGCATCATGATGCCCCAGGAAATGTAATTGATTACTGACAAAAACACTTTTTTGTTTTGTTTTGAGGCAATTCAATCCAGATTTTTGTAGAATATTAAGTTCATGTAGATATTGGTAAAAGTCGCCCCTGCTGTTACGACAAAATGTGCTTTTTTTAAGATAACAAAAAGCTGTCTGAATTGTATATATTTTTCAACAGGATATGGTTACATCTAGAAGGTGAATAGTATTTAGTATGCTTGGGTGATCAATTCAGAGATAATTACTATACACTGTAGTTACTTAAAAAAAAAAATAAATAAATAAATAAATAAAGCCATGAATAAAAAAAAAAGTGTGCACCTTCACTTAAACTAATGAATAAAAAAATGAATAAAAACATAGTAAATGAACGTTTATGAATAAAAACAATGTTAAGTCACTAGTCTTTTTTTACAAGGAATTAATAAATAAACCATCCTATTTAATTAAAAAATATAATACATTTATTGTTTCTGTAAAGCTTATTGTAAATTATTTGATCTCTTTTAGCTTTTACATTTTTAAGATTTTCACTTTTTCCACTATTTACAACAATGTTTATTGCTATGTGGGGAAAGGAGATCACTTGCTAATCATTTTTCTTTACTGTGTATACTACTGTGTAGGATTGAGTTTGAGTAAAGTGATAATAATCGTTTTATCTATAAAGGAGAAATCCAATTTCTTCCACATTTAAAATAAAATAATGCTTTCATTCATTTATTCATTCATTCATTCATTCATTCATTCATTTATGATTAATTGAACAAATGAACGAATGAACGAAGGAATGAATGAATGAATGAATGAATGAATGAATGAATGAATGAATGAATGAATGTGTGGTAACAATAATAATTAGTGGTTTAGATAATAATATTTGGTGGAATATCCTTGATTTTCCATCACAACAAATAAAGATATTTACTATTGTTGATCTTAAATGATGCAACATAGGTAATATGGCAGGAAGTAGAAGAAAACATGCCCACCTTTGCCCCTTTAACACCGCTGCAGTCACAACCACCACATGAAGACCCCGAGCATCCACCCTGAAAGAAAAAGATGAAAAATTATGTCAGCTTTGAAACACTAGGAGGCAGCAAATACATGATAAAGGCATTCAAAATGGGTTAATGGAGTACAGAGACTCAAGGGTGGCAATGAAGAGAACATTCTGGTAAAATCTACTGATGGCTTAGAATTAAACAGAAAAATGTTGATAGCGTGAATAAATCAACATCATTTTGGACATGTAAGCTTTTAGAAAATGCTAATAGAAGAAAGTGGCATGATTTCATGTTGAACAGTATTGATCCACATTAGTCATTTTTTTAACAATATTTTACTCCAGGACAGCTACGAGAAATGTATTTAATATGTGCAGGGTCTGAAACAGACACATAAGCTAAAGGCTTTAAAGACAGAGATTTAATATTTCACTACAATATAAAAGTTACTTTTTGTGTTGGCTCAAGTAAAACTGCACTTTATATTTATTTGAGATGAACAATGTGTTAATAATAACACAAAATGCTACTGAATGCTCACAATGCTACAGACTTATCTTCATTTTCAATACTTCAATAGTAAATCAGCTGCTTTCAAAAAAAGTTTTCTTTTTAAAAATCAACAATGAATGTTCTAACGCAAAACAAGCTAATGTAAACTGTGCATGTAACGTCAAGTAATGAAAGTGGAAGGTAAACAAACACACAGTTGTAGACTTATGTAGTTTTAAAGTCCAACAAATCATTCTAGTATAGTCCTTCAACAGGCAAAATTATTAGTCCCTCCTGTGAAATTTGAATCCATTTTCAAATACATCCCATGCTATGTTTAACAGATCAAGGACATTTTCACTGTCATTTCCATAATATTTAATAAAAAAATCTTACTTCTTTTTTAGTTTATCTGGAATAAAAGCATTTTATTATGCATATTAAGGTGAATATTATCCAATGACTTGCCCAATTAGCCTCGATTGCCTGTTTAACTTAAATAAGTCTTTAAAGTGCATGTTAAACTTAATACTAGTACCTAGCAAAACAACTACTGCAGAAAGATACTATATGTACACTACCTGACAGTAAAGTCTTGAAAGTCTTGACAGTCTTGTCGTCTATCTAAGTTTTAGGAACAACAAATAATAACTTGACTTGTAGTTGATCATTTGGTATCAGAAGTGTCCTATATGAAAGGCAAAGGCCTTTAGTTTACGCTTATTTTACCAAATTTAAATATAATCATGCCTTGATATTTAAATATTTAATTAGGACAGAAAGGTCTGACTTTGCTTAGACAAAAGTCTTGTCACTTAGCAGAAATAATGTACAGTATAGAATATAAAGTCATGGTGCAAAAATAATAAATATTGTGTATGACTCCCATAAGCTTGGGGGACTGCATCCATATATTTCTGCAATGACGCAAATAACTTAATAATAAAGTCATCTGGAATGGCAAAGAAAGCGTTCCTGCAGGACTCCCAGAGTTCATCAAAAATCTTTGGATTCATCTTCAATGCCGCCTCCTTCATCTTACACCAGACATACTTGATAATGTTTAGTTCTGGTGACTGGGCTGGCCAATCCTGAAGCACCTTGATCTTTTTTGCTTAAAATTATTGTTGAAAAATGTGTCGAAAATCACTTCTTTCACTTGGCAAAAAATATATACAAATATATTTAAAACAAGTGGATGAGTTTGTGTTATTATTTTGGAATGATGTATCCCTTTAATAATCTTGAGTTATGAAAACATCTATACTAACAAATGACAATAATTTATGAGTGGAATGTTGAATTCATTAAACTTTACAATCGCAGAATGCATAATAAATCAGTATCTTTTCCTTTTCTTCCTCTCTCTACACATGTGTATGTTAGCGTAAAGATAAAACAGGCTGTTGGCATGTGCACAAATTGTTTGGTCTAAACACACTGATGACAGATATCATGAAGAGGGGCCTGCGGATTCAAACAGAGCCATCAAGCCAAGAATTGAACACACCTGTTCTACTGTTGAGACTCAAATAAACTCCCTTTTAATGGATAGCTGGTCTAAGCATGATAATGTACACATATCTTGCCTCCATGCAGCTACTCAACCCAAAATTTTATTTTGCATTTCTCATAAGCAGGCAATCAAAGATGGGGGGAAAATATTAATATACTTAATTATTTGCTTGTCAAATTTAACATTTACTATAGTAAATCGAGTCATGAAAATCCCGTTTATTATAGCCCCTTTCACACAGCGATACTGGTAAATATCCGGAAAATTTCGGGAACGACAAAACCGGTAAATTCTAAAAAGCGCTGTTCACACAGGCGAGGACGTTACAGAATTTTTCCGGAAAAGATTATTCACACATCCATTACAAAATACTGGTAAATTCTGACATCATTAACAAGAAATGTCCACTAAACGGCTGTGCTTGTATTTGTAAACATTTGACTACATTACAAACTCTGTTGATGGATCAGTATTGTGAACAACTTCGATAAAAATATAGAGGAACACTTTCACATGTCGAGATGTACATGATATGTGTGTGTGCTGGCGCTTCTTCACTGGCACACGCGACATGTCAAGCAACTGAAGGAAGCAGAGCTTGAAGGTAAACAAACAACGGCTTATCATAAGCATCTTATCGATAATTATTTATACAGTTGACATTAAGAAGGTACATACAGTATAATCATTATCTGACTAACATCTAGCAGCTAAATGTGTCCGGAAAAAATATTCAAAGGCTTTTATTTTTATAAACCACGCAGACGTGAATGCGTCTGACTGTTCTGATTGGCTAAAGTAGACGTCTCACGTCAGCACGTTCTAGACCTGAGCGGGCTCTTTCCGGCAATCTTCCTTCTGCGTTCACACAGCGCAGCATTCCGGCAAATTACCGTTAATGTTTCAACATCTCTTTCCAGGAAATAGCCAGAACGAATTTACCGGTATTTTCAAAAAGGGCCTGTTCACACATACAGGCCTTATCGGAAAAATTGCTGATAATTTTTCCGGAGAGGTCTATATGTGTGAAAGGGGCTTATGTCTTATAAAATTATATACCTGTCCTATCTTTTTGATTCTTTGTTGTGCTTTATTAATGGATGTAACATATTTCATGTATTATTTAAATATAATTTTTTATATTAATTTTATTTTTTCCTTTATTTTTTTCATGTAACGTATGTTGGCTATATAATATAGTATAAAGGGCATGACATTTACATTTTTTATGACCAGCCACGGCGGCTATTAGTTTTTCAATGTTACTAGCCACACACCATTTTCACTAGTCACAATTTGTTTTGTGAAAATATATTTTATACGCATAAATATGATTTTGGCATACTAAAATTACTTGATTTAAATTTCATTTAACTTTTATTTGTGTGTGTTGCGTATGAGCTTGCTCAATGAGCATAAGCAAATGGGTTGTAGTTTTAAAGTGTCGCATTGCAGTTAGTTTTTATTTAGCATGACTTTTCAGGGCTCAACACTAAGGATTTACCAATTTTTTTTTCTCTGGCCAGCACCAAAATAATTATTTCCTTGCCACAAAATTTAAATAATATGTCAAAACAAGCAAAATATAGCTGTAAACTAAAACTAAACACAAGTTTTATGCATAAATACATAAATTAAAAATCTAATCTTTAGTGACGAGCCAACTAAAAATCTACTCATATTTAGCTTGTAGGCAGGAGTTAATGTCAAGCCCTGATTTATAATAATAATAATAAGTTCTGTGTGTAGTACCAGAGTTGATCAGACATAGAGAATGCCCAAAATGATGATGCAACTTATATTAAAATTACAATAAAATGTACTGTAAGCGGGAAATAAAGAAGCAGAGCTTGGTTTTATTTACCACAGTGGTGCTGATAATGGAACGGAATGGTTTTACATTTAAGCCATTTCTCTGGTTTCATTTTCAAATAACATACGGGTCCAGGTCAGTTCTGTGCAGCACATTTACAGGTCTCTTCGGGTTCGGGTATGACTTTTTGAACCCATGAAAACTAAATGAAGGCTACTAAATGTATAGACCACTTTTCACACTAATTATCATTCTTAATCAACTTTGACAGAGCACAGTATTACTGCATTATGGTCAAAAATAAAACAATTAAGCAGTTGTATAGGTTGGACATTAAATCTATGTTACCTGGTTAACAGAAAGTTATCTTAATATAAAGGGAGAATAACCATAAATCTTTCCAAGAATTATTTGCATATGACTTCATTTTTTTTTTTTTTTTTTTTGTATTTTGCTGACATTTTACTATGGTTAGGTTTTTCCTTTATCAGTTATGCTTATTAGAGTTCAAAGTAACATCTAATGTTGATCAATAATGTTTGCTGCATTACTTCAGTGTCATGTGTGTGATCATGATGTTGTTTGGCAGCAGTGTGACTGACAATATTACATTATTTGCCTCCTATGATTTGAGATGTTTTTTTTGTTGTTTTTTTACAGTTTGTTGTATATTCATTCATTTTCTTTTCAGCTTAGTCTTCAGCTTAGATTAATAAAGGGACTAAGCCGAAAAGAAAATGAATGAATGTGTTGTATATTATGATACAAAAAACAGGTAATACATTGCCAGTATATACATTTTCTGTTACATTACAGATGTATATCCTTCTATATACTATTTCTAATACATTATATTATTCCAAACTCAAAAATGTCAATAAAAAGTCACTTTGTTAAACTGTAGTTAAATTTTCAACATTAAAAGTCAATAGAGCAGAGATCAAGATCCCATAATGTGATTCAAAACTCAAATAAATAAATGAAAAAACCTTGTGAATAACAAAATACAGAAACTATTAAATATCAGATACACTGTAAAAATACTGAGTTCCACTAAATTAAATTATGTTGTCCCAACACTAATTGCACTGCTGAAATGCTTTTCTTACCTAGATTTTTTGTCTTTTCTCTAGTCCAAATATCTACAAATTCGTAAATCAAGAAGCATTTTCTAGAAAAGCAAAACATATTGTCTTTTTTAAGATATAATATCCCCAAATT